AGTTACTACCAGGGCATTCTCACATCTTCCAAAGAAATGGCATAGGTGTTAATCTTGTATTTATGTTTGATGTGGGTAATGATGGCTGTGACTGGAGCTGTAGGTTTATTAATATGCAGGGCTCTCACCTCATTAGTGGCGATGTATGTTTTGAAGTTAAGCTGCAATGTCTGCTGCAATGTTGGATCTGGCCTCACAGATTTTCTCACTGTTCATTTTCTTTGTTTTTATCCACTGTAGTTGGCACATGCTATGCTTATAGCATCTCACTATGCCTTTTAATAAAGATAATTTTTCCACAGTAGTTCATTTTGGTGGGAGTTTCAAACATTTTTAATAATTTATGTCCTAACATAGATTTCGTTACATTTGGTCTATCTTAGAGGAAGGATTTTTATAATTTTTTTTTTTTTTTTTTGAGACAGAGACTCGCCCTGTTGCCCAGGTTAGAGTGGCACAGCCTCGGCCTAGCTCACAGCAACCTCAAATTCCTGGACTCAAGCAATCCTCCTGCGTCCCAAGTAGCTGGAACTATAGGTACACACCACCACACCCAGTTATTTTTCTATTTTTAGTAGAGATGGGGGTCTCACTTTGCTCAGGCTAGTCTCAAACTCTTGAGCTCAAGGGATCCTCCTGCCTCAGCCTCCCAGAGTGCTAGGATTAGAAGTGTGAGCCACCCTCCCAGCTGATTTTTATAATTTTTGACTCAGTAATATAAAGTATAATAAACGCTCTCTCTGGCTTGATTTGGGGGTGGGGTATGCTTATCAACTGGATACAGTGATTAATTCATACTTATAATAAAAACATAACTGCACTATTATGACTTAAGTTTATAAATTACTTTCACATATATCATCTCAATCAACTCATATAAAGAGTAAAATAAACAACAGGGACACCTGATTTGATGATCCATTATGAATAGCAAATATTGTATTTCAATTTCCAAAACAATTTCCATTTGACATAACATACTACCAAATAAACTTAATGTTGAGCAGACTATCAAGCCTCATGGGATGAGCGTCTGTCCCTGCTTCCTGCTCAGATTTCATTCTATTATTCAGTCTTTGCTGGATATACACTATGAGAAA